CCCCCCCCCCCCCCCCCCCCAGTTTTTGGTGAGGTTCGTGTTGCTTAGTCTTTAGTTTTCTATGCTGTGTTTGGTGTACTGTTGTTTGTCTGTTTGTATTTTTTTTTAGCCATGGCGTTGTCAGTTTATTTTAACTTATGAGTTTGAATGTCCTTTTGGTATCCTTCGCCTCTCTTTTACATGTACTTCCAAAGCTATATGATTGAAATGTACCTTTCAAGAACAATCAACCATCTCAGGTCAATTTACAAAATGCCACTATGTTGCCCCTTTTCTTAGCAAAGCTGCCAATGAGGAAACGAGGCAATTGCCTCACAACATTTTTAATGCAGAAACAAAAACCACTTAGAAGCCAAATAAAATGCTAACCTATGTATAGAATAACGATTGTTCCAAACATTTGGCGTCTCTTGACAGTTTCCACGCGCATTCCTCATTATTGCTTAAACAATTTTGTCCGACCTTCAACGATGAACAAAACCCATACCGCATAGTAAGCTATAAAAGGTCCCAACATGACAAAATTGAATCAAATTCAAACGAAAAAAATTAACGGGGCTGATTTATGTACAAAACAATAAGCGGAAAGGAAATATGATAAACCACGACAGCCACTGATTTACAGGCTCTCGACTTGTGATAGACACATACATAATATGGCAGGGTTACACTTGATTACGAGCCGGTCTTTTTTCTTCCATGAAAAAATGATCAATGTATATACACATGTCTTATTGTAGGAACGGAAAAATTAAACTTTGTAAAATAGAAAAGTGATTCAAACAAGAGGTGAGAACTTTGAAATTGACATGAAACCCAATATTGTTAATTCTATTATTTGTATACGAGAGTCGGATTAACTGTGGTAACCAACTGTGCTCCTCTTCCCATTTTCCTTCAATAATATGAAGAAGACTTCATAGTTCATCCAGTTATAATACATCCAGACACCTTGGCAGAGTCCCTATACGTCTAAAGTTACAAGACACATTTTTAGTGATAATCATGACAGCTGTTTTTGTTAACGTCAGGACCTATCTTAATTTGAATATCGATAATCAAAATTTTAACCAACACAGTTACATTAAAAGTTCGTTTGGCTATGTAGGATGTATGTTATATATCCATACCCTTTCATAATAGTAACTCTTTTCAAAGTAGTAGTCTAAATATTCCGATCGACCAATTTGGCAAAACTTAATGGATTTCTTAACCGGTTTCCTGTCCTTTATCTGTTTGGCTCTGACAGATATAATCTTGGCATCAAGGTTGTTTCAGATACCCGTATGTTGCACGGGAGAGAACCAGCCTAAGTGGATTTCTTGATCGTTCTGAATGAACCCCAAATGCCTACTGGGGTATAGAAATATGGTCATGTCTGGATTTCTCACATTCAGCAGTAAAACCCATGCTTAAGATTGGTGCCTATTTGGCTGTGTGGGATGTAAAAATTCACAGCTACAGCAGGTCAGAATTGGGACGTTAAATCATGTGCCTAGTTTATGAAGAGTGCCACGACGCTTGCAATTATCATTAAGGGGTCCGTAAGTGTAAATTTTCTGTTAATGTCTTGCATACTTTCGGTTTCACGTTTTAGTCGAATTTAATGCTCTAATCTTGATCGACTCATCCGATTTGATTATTATAAACTTTGTCTCGTCAAAAAAAAAAACCCACATGAAATATTTATCATTAGGCGTTCAGCAAAAGTGCTGAGAACTCTTTTGCGACGTTGCGGTTTCGCCCTTGAACCACCCAATCCCACGCAAGCTACATCACGACCTCGGTGAAGTCTTGACTAAAGCCTCAAATGTCTTACCAGAAATACGGGTCAAGCTACGCCACTGTTAAAGTTTTATAGACTTTATTCGTGACACATAAGTAACAGCTGTATAAACAAAGTTTAGCTACAAACAATGTGGGAGAAGGAATTGTGTATGTTGGAAATCTGCCAATACTTGCAGTTCTTTCATCAGATTCTTTACAAAACAAAGTTATATCATCTACGTTAATTCCAACTGTAAAACGAAGAACTTAATTAATGTGCTAACATGTAACACCTGTGGCATTCAATGCGTGGAAGAAACAATGAACAACTTTAACATTCGTCTATATAACTATCGATCAAGGTACAAAACAACAAAAACAAAAACTGGCCCCTCACAAGACATCTTCGCTTTTTGATATTGTTACTTTTCAAATAATAGAAGTGAACACTGAGTGTGACTACGCGGCCAGAAGGAGATGAGAAAGTTTTGAATCCACCAGCTCCAACCTTTAGAGCCTGATGGTCTAAATGAAAAAGATGAAAAAAGGTACAGGAAAGTTATAGTTTATTATGTGCCATTATTGGAGCAATATATGCAATAGAAAAACGTCTATGCGAAACACAAATTCAAGGAGAAACTAAATTTAGAGCGACATGCGGACCACAAATTTGCACAAGCGGTAATTTTTTTTTATTGAAATGTTAATTTCTCCAAAACAGGAGCGGAAAATCCAAAGAACTAGGAATCAAATTGGTATGGCCTAACTAAAAGAGATAAATTGATTGAAATATGAGTTATGGTATTACTATAATTGTGTTAAAGATGGACATATGTTTTCGTTTGAGCAAAATAGAAAGCTTGTTAGTTAAATTATGGTTAGGGTCTGAGTTAATAGAAATACAGATTTCGAATTAAAAAAAAAAAAGTTACTTTCATAAAAGCTGTCGACTTTTACAGTACCCCAAACACCTTTTAGATTAGCATGTGACGCGGGATTAATCGATCATTGTATTGTTAATTCCATTATACTATATATATCATGGTAAAATTATGTACTATTACAAATCAGACCCAACCTCAAAATTTGAAGGGATTTGTGTTGTCCGTTTATTGCTCTTCAAGTAATTTGTGTTCTTTGTATATATATAATACTTCCTTGAATTGATTTCTTGAAAAAAAAAGTAGATTTTTGTAAAAATTTTGATCAACTGGTTGCATTTTTTGTAGTGTCTGAGTCTATCTAATTCGTAAAATTTTATCTATTTCAGTACTAGGCTTGCATAGTAGCTGATGGTTCTCTAGCGACGAATCCATTGAAAATCCGATTGTTTTTATTCCGTCAAATTTATACCGGACCAACAAGGTATTTCAACATTGGAAAAATACTAAATGTTTTCATTAATTTTTTATTTCGTGGCCTCGTAGTTGCTGTTTTCAAATTCAATTTGAATATAACAAGGCTATGGCACGTCAAAAGTTTCAATACTCAAACAATAATATTGATTGAAAAAACAATTATGTTCAAAACTTACAAAATATATGCATTATTTTTCTACATATATTAGAAAAAAAATTATGTTCAAAACATATATAAAAAATATATAATTATGCAATGTTTTTCTATTTATATTCAAAAAATAAAAAATTACGTTCAAAACTTACAAATATATATGCAATATTTTTCTATTTATTTTCAAAACTTATAAATATATATGCAATATTTTTCTATACATATTCAAAAAATTAAAATTTATGTGCAATATTTTATATATAGATGTGGTAAAAAATATATATATTCAATAATATTGCATTCTGGGTAATATTTGTAATGACGAATTTCATTGGCTGTTGCAATTTAACGAATGGGGCACATTTCGGCCCGGAGATATAACTCGGACCGACTAATAAAAGTAAACTCGGATCGTCTATAAAGTCAACTCGGACCGTCTATAATGACAACTCAGACAAAGTATTAAAGAGGATTTGAACACTATATATGATTACTGGATACCATATGAATTATTAATCTCTAGCTTATGAGTTACTGTTTACCTTTATTGTGCTTTTAAAATATGAACTTTATGAGATAACGCTTCGTTATTGTATGTCTTAAGTTATACCTCACGAGTTATACTTAGTGTTCAAATCATATGCAAAAATTTGAACTCACATTATACTATATTCTTTTTATTGTGTTTTGCAAATTCTTAAACATCCAAATGATATTGTCATGTAAAATATAACATTTAATGATTTATAATCATTTGTATAGTAACAAAATACCGAACTCCAAAGAAAATTTAAAACGGAAAGTGCCTTGTCAAATGGCAAAATTAAAAGCTCAAACACATCAAACGAATGGAAAACAGCTGTCATATTCCTGACTTGGTACAGGCATTTCTTTATGTAGAAAATGGTGGATGAAACCTGGTTTTAAAGCTAGCTAAACCTCTCACTTGTATGACAGTCGCATAAAATCTCATTATATTGACACCAATGTGTGAACAAAACAAACAGACATAATAGGTAAAAATGTCCGAAATAGGGGTACAGCAGTCAACATTATGTTATAATCTTAATCACTATAAAAACAAACAAATATGTCAACAAAGAAAAACAAAATAGCATATAGGCAAAGCACATAAGCAAAAGTGAAAGACAAGAATTCAAAAAATGACGATAGCACAATAACACAATGGCGGGATGTATAAGTACCGAGTCACGCCAACAGGATATTACCAAAAATGGACTAAACAGTAAAGTAAATAATTTACAATGACAAATAAAAGACTATAACACGTACTAGTGAAACCCGTCATTACAAATATTACCCAGAAAGCAATATCATTGAATATATATTTGAACCGCATCTATATATAAAATTTTGAACATCAATTTTTATTTTTTAAATATACGTAGAAAAATATTACGTATATATTTGAAAGTTTTGAACATAAATCTTATTCTTTTTTTAATATATATAGAAACATATTGCATATATATTTGTAAGTTTTGAACATAAATTTTTATTTTTGAATATGAATAGAAGAATATTGCATATATATTTGTAAGTTTTGAACATGAATTTTTCTTTAATGTTTTTTTTTTAATAGTGAAACGTTTGACGTCCCATACAAGGCAGGGAAATATTTCTTTGGATCGTTTCGTCCAATGGTGTTAACTGTATTGAATGTCAGAAAAAGAATGTTACGTCATATACATTTTTATTGAATCATTAATACCGTGGTTTTGAGGTTGTCATTTCATGCTGATCGAGTTCTAGTAACCTGAAAAAAATGTTAACCAACGGTACATTAAAACGTATACACAATAAAAAGTCGCACAGATATTTTTTGACATAATTTTAATCACATAATCACATAAAATACTCACACTCATGAGATGAAGCATTTGCTCGTGGTTTAAGTGAAAAGATGAGTATTGTTAAAAACAGGAAGATATGTACAAGTAAATATTTATTCTTCTGTTTTCTGCCATTCTAATTTCAAAGAATCATTTTAATTGAAATAAAAGCTTTGATGGATTTTTGAAACATAATTGAAACGGCAGAACGCTCCTTTTAAAGCGAAAATCATATGCATACAGCAGCCTTTCCTTAAACAATGTATTAAGCTGATGTGAAACCATAGTCTTACATTACCAGTATAAAATGATATATTGTCTAAAGACAAATGTTTCAATTAAGCGCCACAATAGATTGGACAATATAAGGAAAAGAGTAATTGCCATCGGCTAAAAACAAAAGGTATTAATATTTCTTATATTTGATAAATGTTGTTTGAAATGTGTAAGTTACTGTAGATACTATTCGATATTGATTTTTACAGCTAAGTGGCTCACAAATTAACCTGTTAGTGTCGATTAATAGGACAACTAACAGGTTAAAAATTGAAAATTGTGTCAGTCATAAATTGACAACTTGTATAGACTGGGGACGATTAAGACCTTTGAAATATTGCCAAAAAATCATGTCTATTGCTTAAGATTGTATGCTGTCGTGGAGATGTCTCTTTGGTTTTATTTTTGTCGTCGTTCGGGTGCTGTCTTACCGGCGTTTAATTATCATCGTATCTCATGCTACATGTAGAATGTGTACATGTATGCTGTTCTGCTAAGGACCTGTTGTTGCTAATGCTCTGTACTATGATTGATAGTCATGTCCAGGTTTCAGATCTGATAATAGTGATAATGAGTACTTATCAATGATTTTTTCGATTCTTTTAGCGCGTTACTATCAATATGTTCATATCTATATAAAAGTCATACTGATGTGATAGTTGTTCAAGAAATGAACAACAAATAATTGGGCAATTAATGTACATGAAATCCTAATAGACCTAATTGATTTAAATCAAAGTAAGTACTTGGAAAATTTGATGGCTTTTGATGCCTCAAGGGAAGACAACATCTTTCAGGAGAACAACAGTCTTCGTGTAGCAAATGGTCCTCAAAATACCCCTTAAAACAATAGCTTTTCGTACAAATTCCTCCACTCCTCAAACAATGAATTCCTGAATAACCTGCAACATGTAAGGCTTACACATTTAGTAAATTACTTTAACAAATCATTCAGTTTAAAAAGTGTATCTGATCGGGAAAACAAGATGTAAACGCATTTTATTTCAAAATATATAATACACGAAAGGACAAACTAAAGTTTAAAAAATATATATGGAAAGTATGTGAATGGAGGTTTTAAGAGGGAAATTATAAACCCTTATTTTTGCAAAAACAAACCATAACTCGTCAAATATCGTTTCATCTTACCTTTTGGTAAATGTTTTACTACTTATCTGTTTGTCCTTGTAACAACTTCCCCTTCTACAATTAAAACTTTTATTATTACTTGTGTAATAAAGCATATGAAAAAAATGGAACTGATTTTTTGGAGTGTAAAACATTATTTAAATTTGAGAATGAAAATGGGGAATGTGTCAAAGAGACAACAACCCGACCATAGAGCAGACAACAGCCGAAGGCCACCAATGGGTCTTCAATGCAGCGAGAAACTGCCGCACCCGGAGGCGTCCTTCAGCTGGCCCCTAAAAAAATATGTATACTAGTTCAGTGATAATGGTCGTCATACTAAACTCCAAATTATACACAAGAAACTAAAATAAAAATTTGATACAAGACTAAAAAGGCCAGAGGCTCCTGACTTGGGACAGGCGCAAAAATGCGGCGGGGTTAAACATGTTTTTTGAGATCTCAACCCTCCCCCTATACCTCTAGCCAATGTAGAAAAAACAAACGTACAACAGTACGCACAGTAAAACTCAGTTTAAGAGAAGTCTGAGTCCGATGTCAGAATAGGAAACAAAAGAAAATAAACAAAATGACAATAATACATAAATAACAACAGACTACTAGCAGTTACTGACATGCCAGCTCCAGACCTCTATTAAACTGATTGAAAGATTATGTCTTCCACTACAAACCAGTAAAAGTCTGAAATGGCCTATATTTGTACTCGACTGTACTGATTTTTACTCGACCAGTCTGAATTGGTCTGAATTTTACTCGACATTACTCGACCCAAGTCTTAACCATACTCGACTGTACTGATTTGTACTTGACCCTTACCTTTGCCATTGAAAATAGTCTGAACTATTACTCGACCAGTCTGAAACAGTCTTAACCCATTCTCGACCTGTACTCGACCTATTTTTTTCAGTCTAAACCATACTCTACCAAAGGTCTGGACAATACTCGACCAGTCTGAACCATACTTGACCAAATAACCTCTATTTTTTCAAAGTTTTAACTGTTAAAATAAATTTCTTTTTAACTGACATGACAACAGCCACAATAAAATAAATATATATTATAAAAACAGATTTTTACAGTCTTACATGATTCTCAGATTTATCGAATAGAGATAGTTAAATCAAATTATCTTATATAATAATTTAATTATATTAATTTTAAAGTTTTAGAGTTTTGTTAAAAAAAGATTTTCTTTTACCTAAAAACCACATCTATACTGAGGGTAATTAAACCTTATTAAGGTGCTTCTTGTTTGGCATGTGTTTTTTTTTTTAAATTAATTTTCCTAAATTTCTAAATAAAAACTACATAGGTTTCATGGTTACATACAAAAAATTTACAATAGTTATATAATTATCTTTTTAATGAGGTAACAAGAGCCAACAAAATCACTGAAATTGTTTAACCTTATTTTAGAAATATATCTATTATTATAATTTGGGATATATTATATACAATATATAACAAAAAGGGATAAAAATTAAGGAAATTAATTAAATTGTTCTTCTGATTAGTGGTGAAGTATAAAGTAATACCTCCTGCTTGGGGGAAAACTCATGAAAAAGATCACACCTGGTCAGAGAGTATTAAATTCTAAATAACATTCATTCAAAATTGCAACATCCTGTGAAACTTAAATCGCAAGGCCCTTTGAACTCACTAGATAAGTAATACACGAGTTTAAGAAAAATAGGGCTTTCTTTTTACCTGTAAAACACACATGTACTGAGGTAATTAAACCTTATTAAAGTGCTTCTTGTATGCCATGTCTTTAATTTTGACAAAAATTATTTAAATTTAATTGAAATAAATTTTTACTGTAACTTTGGAACACATTTCCTTTTTCAAAAGTTTATCACAGGATTACTATGGAAGTTCTATTATCATGACTATATTAAATTCTTGGTTTAACAAAACAAAGGTGTCATTTTTTAAATTTATTAAGTTGCTTTATATGCTATTTTATATATATTTAAATAAAAAAAAATGTTCACTGCATTATTAACTAAACTCAACTGACACCATAAATCTATACGAGGCTTAAGTTGATGGTAAAAATTGTCCAGTAACCATAAAATGTATCTGAAACATTCAAAACATTTTGAATAACATTGAAAATATTAGTCACAATTCAGTTTTGAGATTATTTGATCAGCTTGTTTTATTTTTATTTTAAAGGTGATATATATGTATGTATATAAGTGTTGATGAATATGGTGATGAAGTTATATTATGTTTATTGTGAAATTTTGGTTTCAATGCTATATTGAATACATTTTTAATTTCAAATTGTTGTTCAAATTTCTAGCCAGGTGAAATAGCTGTTGTTAAAAACAGTTCCTAAATTGATGAAATACAATAGATAGATACAAAAAATAGGTCTAGGTTGGTTACGACTTGGTCGAGTATGGTTCAGACTAGGTCAAGTATGGTTCAGACTAGGTCGAGCATAGTTCAGACTAGGTCGAGCATGGTTCAGACGCATATAAAATGGTTAAGTACTGGTCGAGTAAGGGTCAAGTACAAGTTCAGACTGTTAAGTATGGTTCAGACTACAGTCGAGTATTATCAAGTAAATTTCAGACCAATTCAGACTGGTCGAGTAAAAATCAGTACAGTCGAGTACAGATATAGGCCATTTAAGACTTTAACTGGTTTGTAGTGTTCATCATATGAATATCAGGCACAATCCCTCCTGTAAGGGGTTTAAATGTTTTACATCCGTTTTTAATGGTCTTTTCAATTAAGTTTATAGTTATGACTCTCTATATTACACGTCTATACAATCTCATCATTGAGAAAGAGTAGTTTTACTATTTAATTAAAAGTCCTTTGAAAAATCTGATTGGACATAATTTTGATGGGGTAATATAAAGAATTTTTGTAATGAAAATTGTAAATATGCTAAATATACTTCCTAAAATTGTGATGATATGATTAGAGCTGGTTGAAGGTAACCATATGAGCACCAATTGAGACCATTTAAGAGCAGATGTGTTCCTGTACTGTTTTTGCTTTTTGCTTTGATGAATCAAATAGTTTCAAATCATAATGCAGATATTGATATCATGCAAACGGCTTTAAATCTAATATTTTTTTCCTTTTCTAGATTTGGTCATTTCAGTATCTACAAACGAGACGATTTTTCGTTCCCTTATGCTTATTTTCCTTTTTAGCTTTTTAATATTTATTTGGTCCCTTATTACGATATGTATATTTCCAAACTCGTTCTCTATGCCTTAGTCTGTAATTACATTTTAAATTTCGCTGATATTAATCTACATATAACTGGTTAATTATAAAGTCAGGGATTTTTCTTCTACAAATTACTTAACAAATTTTCAAAATTTTTTTCATAGATACAAACATTTAGTTTGACAGTTCGGTAGTAAATATAGTAACAGTTACTGTAGAAATCTTTTTACAAGTAGGAGACATCCTGATTTTAACGGTTGAGTTGTTTATAAAACCCGTAAAGTTTGATACGATCCATGTGAACTTATTAATATAGAATAATATTCAGGATAATATAAATGTAACAATGTTAACGTTATTAGTTCATTGAATGTTGTCTCTATCGGTACTAACATTAATTTTTGTTTATGATTTAAAATATTGCTAAAATATTAAAATAGAATTCCAACAATATCTTCCAATGATTCAAAAAGCAAAACATAGATGTCTTATTACTCATATTCACTAATAATATGATTTAGCAGAAAGTTATCATGTTTAAACCACTAAAAGAGGTCATAATGTGATGATGATGGATGGCTGCCTAACGTCCAGCGGCGAGTTAATATGCATATAAAAAAGAGATCATAGTCAGATGGCTATTGTCAGTCTTGTATATGAACAAAACATAGTTGGTACTTGAGCAATGGGATTGAAGTAAATGTAATCCCATCTGCAGACTGCTTCGAATACTTTATACATCATACAATTCAAATATAGTTGATATATTACCATATCCAACTGAGAAACCAATATTAGCTCAAAAATTAAAAACTGACCATTGAAACATCAAAGGCGGTTAAAGTTGGATAAGGTCCAGACATATCTATTGGCCTGATTTACGTACAAAACAGTAAACGAAAAACAATTATGTTATACATCAACAAACGGCTACCACCAAATTACAGGCTCCTCACTTTGAACAGGCATACACAGTATGTGGCGTTCGGTTAAACATGTTTGAGAACGCGACAATTGTGCAAACATCGACGTTTTACCGCCTACATCGCAATGACGCTACGCTCATTTTGACGGGTTTTTTAATAATGTATACCGTATAACGAAGTCGGTGACTCTATTATTATTTTACATCATTAAAATAGAAATTTATGTATCAACAACATATAGTTTTTGAAGAAAAATCTACGGACTTGAATTGGAGATTTTATGATTTTAAGACAAATTCAAGAAAGTTTTTACCCGATTTTATGTGCTTTCTTTACAAATGTTCGCCTATTTTGAATGAATTCAATCAGTTATATTTTAGATAATAAAAGAGATATATGCATACTTTTTTTCGATTTTCCGAAATTCCACCAAAATCTGTGACAAAGCTCCTTTACTGTAACTTGACCTTAAAATGAAAATCGTATCACATACAATTAGTAATAGACTTAACTTACATTTTCCGCACATAACGGCGAGAAAAAAAGCAATACACATGACGTGGCTGGATTTCATTCTTTTTTCACAAACTCAAAGAGATATAATGTGTATTCGATGCACGTTGCGCTCACCCTTTGTCGCAAATGAATATATACAACTTACAATAGACATCAATAATTTATTCAAACATATGATGTAAGTCATTTGTCACACGTTTCCGGAAGCTATTTGATATTAAATGAATAAGCACATTTAGTTTACTGTAGATAGGTATAACCTTTAATGGTATTAAAATAATCGTTTTGCACCTGAACGCTTTCTGTACTTTTAAACGCTTTTCGTTTTGATTCTTGATATGACTATTTACTAATTTGGATTCGCGCCCTTAATCAAGAGAGGTATAGGGAGGTTCAGTATTATTTTCATCAGGCATCACTTTGATATCTCTTGCGTGTTTGATTGACCCAGGCTTCTATTTGTCCTTAGTTTATTATATGCTTACATATAAGGGTGATAGGCACTAACTAGGCCTTTTTTCTAAACTGTTATCAATAAAAAAAAAATTGTCGGTCTCTCTTCGACTTACATTAATGAGTTTTAATTCCTCTTATTGGTAACTTTCGTCTGTTTTGTTTCTTATTTTCATAAAGACACAATAAACACCATTAAAACAGGGGATCACATACTAAGTATGTATTACTAATCAAATGCACAAATAGGAGAAAAACAAGTGGCGTTATTGTCAAAAGAAAAAAAAGAATGATACAAATATCATTTCATGACACACTACACACAAAAAACAAATTTAGCAACACAACCATCCTTTTAAAAATAGTATTCTCAAGCAGATAAATTTATAAATTGTTGTTCTACTCTGTCATATTAACTGAAAAAAATGTTAATAAAGGTCATAATTATATTGGTCAATTATTTTCTTGGATAATTTTAAGGTAATTTAAAGTATAATTATCCACTTGTAAACGACTTTTAGTCTGAAACGGTCTTTTCGATCTGCACAGCTCTTAAAAGATCGAACAATAAATTTTAAAGGCCATTTTTAGTTTTTCAGGGTTTTTTCAGACTCATCCAATGCTTTTAATTCGGTACTGTTTAGACAATTCGATTGTAGTTAAATAAAATCAGTTCAGTCTATGTTCAAAATGTTTAGTAGTTGTAATTTACCTGTAAAGATCAACTATATAGTTACAGAATTATATGAAAAACTACTGAACAGTACTGAATAAATCGCAAATAAATCTGAAAATTGACTAAAAGACTGAACATGACTTAATAATTTATTGTTCGGACTTTCTATACGATATGGGTTTTATTTATTGTTGAATACCGTACGGCGACCTGTAGATATCCACAGCCTTGTCCTTTTGTATTGCCACCTTATTTAATATTAATAAAATTATACAATTTACCTTTTTTTTTTATTTTTTAAGCAGATGCAATTCGTATTACATACTAAATCTAGCTTACTTTTAGCCATGTAAGAAGAGGGATTATTTAAAGAAACATCTCAATGCGTTTTTATTTATAAAAAATGCACCGTAAAAGCAAATAAACGATAAAAAAATAATAACCATATTAATGTATGTAAATTTCAACGTTAGTTTGCTTCATTAATAAGCAATCTTTGATGCAATAAATGATGTTTGGCAACCGATTGGGATTAATAAAATTCTTAATCAATACACTGATTTTAACATGGTTGAAGAAAATAAATTATCCTACTTAATATTACAAGAAGTTGCATTTATCATCAATTGGAATAAAGGGAGACTTTGAACATTGTGAATTGTTTGATTTCGTATACGTAATTGTTTTTTTAAATAGCGGTATTTTTTTCTATTTTTGTCCTGTTACATTGTATATACTCAAATGATTTCATCATAACTATGCACTAATTCCTAAACGTATATCATAAACGTTGGATAGTTTTTAACCAAACCTTTACAACATTCAAACATACAACTTTATTTTTGTGTGGTCAGCTAGAGAAAGATTTTGTTAAATATTTGCAGATGACTCATTGAACTACCATGATGAACATGTGTAGAAATTGTAAGGTACATAGTATTACTTAGTTTTTCCTATTCAACTATATCCTTTAAAAATATGTTCCGAAAACACCGCCTTATGACAGAACATAAAGTTGACGAATTAAGTCCTATCAAATCATTTTGAATAAAAAAACATATATCATGTAATTCTTGAGCACTGTATAGGATTTGTCTGCATGTCTTTTACCCCAAGTATGTTTTTTCTATAAATGAACAAACATCACAACCGTCTTTATTTTGTGTATTTATGTTAAATGAAAAATAATACTTCATAAATATCGTGATTCTAATTGATATCACCTTTAACGCCTAGATTCGAAATTACAAAGTCAATTATGTTTACATACTTTTGGAGCTATATTAAACATAAGGACTTAAAAAGAATAGCCACAGCCGGCGTAGATTAATAAGTCGGAGGTAGTTTGATTTTAACTTTCTAATATATACCTCATAAATCATATCAGGGGAGAATGGCTAACTACTTGGCTAGTTACACTCTCGGGACTAACAGTAGTGGTACAGACCCAGTGCTAGTAACATAAGTTAACAAAAGTAACATTATCATATTTGGCGCTTTCTGGATTTCCCATCAATGGGAACGTTAAACCCAGAAATTTTGAAAGGCAGGATGTATATATACACGAGATGTAATATGACCAAAACAGGACCTAAATTGAATATATAAAACCCTTTAAGGTAAACATTGTTTGAATTTATGAAATTATCAAGGCAAATTTACGAAACGTTTTTTTTAATAAATTTATCAGTGGCAATGGTTTGGTATCGGTATTAATTGCACACTCGCGAATCAACAATGTATCAAACTTCATCTGTGCCGACCCAATAAATACAAATAACATATTAAAATGTATGATCTTAAGTTCCCATGACGAGTGTATTTACTCTCCATTATTACATGTATTATTAAATAAAACTTAAAATAACCTTTACACTATTGACATTGATATAAATAAAAAAAAATCATAATTTGCTAGCAGAAATCAAAATGCCTCACGGAACAAAGATTACAAAATTAACTTAATGTAAGCTTAATGTAGCTTGGGTTTCTTCCGCCATCTTGGATTATGAAATAGCAGAAAAACAATCGGTCTAGATCTTTTATGAAATGTGCAAATTTTGAGAGAGAAATTTCATTCATTTGTTAGACTTCATTGGAATGACGAAAATTTTGTGTTTTTTCATATTTTTTGCGACTGGTTTTAACAAATACAGAATATTTTTTTGTTTAATTAAATTTTTCAACTTTGCCATATAAGGGGAGATAACTCAGATAATGTAACCTCTATACTGAAATGTTATATGAATTAACCTATTATGTTTTTTTTGCAAGAAAACGAGTCTCGTGAACCTATTTTTTCTTTTTATATTTCAAAAGTCCATTATAAGAGCTATCTTCTCATATTTTAACTTAAAAATCTATGGTTTAGTTTTCATTCTTTTACACAAAATGGTGTTTTCTATAAATAATCTATACAAAATTGACTCTTACTTTATTATTATAATTGGAGATGGTATGAAATATAATGACGTCCATTATACGAAAAGTTTATTTCTCGCACCTTACATGTATCAATTCCCCTTTCTAAATACCTCACAATACCTCACAGAGTATTTGGAATGTTTTCATCTGTCACATTAACCGTACAACTATTGATCTAAAAATCAATAGGAGTTTTCCTCTTCCCTATAACTTTTATTTAGATAGATAACATTTTAACCATTGAAGGAACTAAACTAAACCAATGTTTCCTCAACTTACTTTTTAGTAACATCGATATTGACCTTTGGCCTTTGACTAATTTAAGTGAAAAACTGTAAGTTTCTTTTACATCATTCTGTTGAGTACTTTAGGGTTATCTTTATTGAAAATTAGAAAAATATTTTGTTAGTTTAACAAATTCTTATTGCGGGAAATGTTCCATATCTAACATGTTTTTCGGTTAAAACAGCATCAGTTTCATGTGTGTATAAAAAAGTTGATGTGTAGTATTCATAATGTGCATACATTATTTTATTATTACGTCGCCAACAAAAATAGTCCGATAACATTTCATTAAGATATCAAACATCAATAATGATAAATTATGAAATCAAATTACAAAATCTTGACCAATCATATAACACTTTATTTGTATTTCAATGAAATACTCAATGTATATTTATTTTCAATATAAAGCGTCACATTAAATACGATATGGTCTATCAAGTTTGTCATAATAAAAAATAACTTAAAACACAAAAAAGAAATATCAATGCAGACAGCTTACCGTGACGCTTCCCAAAAATGTTTGATCTAGTCATGCCATTGGCTGATATTAAATAAATACACTAGAATAATAAGATATGACAAATGTTCCCTTTTCTAACGGATACGTGTTTATGACAACTCACTTGTTAACGCACTATTTAGAGCCCTTGGAGGCGACATTCCTTAATTGGAAAACAGAAATAAAATCCACATAGCTTTTTAGTCTTGATCCTATGACTTCTGATGTTATAGTGCCTGTACAGTCCAAATAAATCCGTAAACAAACTGTAACAGACGAAGGTGATTGTATGAGAAAAATAGTTACATTTTTTGGCGGTCACAATAGAAAATGTCTGACGCCACAAAGGAAAAGTGATTTCAAGCTTACAACAGTAAAAGAAAAACAATTATGACAGACTGCAAACAACGATAGCAGCTTGACTATATATATTTGAGTTGAGACAGGCACACACAAAATGCGTCGGTCTTAAACATGTTTGCAAGCCTAAACTATCTCATTAACCTAGGAAAGTTGGGTAGTAGCACAGCAAACGGTAAAATTATGTGCAAATACATTGATCATGCGATTGGTATTTGGACTAAGTGCAAACACATTTTAGAAAAGGACAAAATACACATTTTACGGATTTAGCAGTACATGTAGTTACTGAAAGCTAACAAATGTCCAAATTTTCGTTTAGCTTTGTTTAATATCTGTAGTTCCATTTACGCAAAAGTCTATGGAACTGAGAACAGGGTCTTCTTTTTGTGTTATTTGATCATCTATC